TGTGTGTGTGTGTCCTGCTAGATGCAGGGTTCTGGTCACATTTAATCAAATCCTGGTTCAGATTCATCCATTTTATGACGGGTCAGTAAGAAAAAACAAACACACAAACAGCCGTTTGTCATAAATAACTATTTTAAGTAAAATGAAGAACTTTGTCTTTGACCTGCTGCTGTAAACGCTGAGTCATGTTAGAACACCTTCCTCCCTGCAGGGATTTATCCTGGCTTAGTCATTACTCTTCAGCACTAGGCTAATAACAGCGGTTAGCTGTTGATATTTTAGTTATTATTATTCCTCATCCTACTTTTACTGTTGGATAATCATGCTCATACTTTTGGAACTACAGTTACTATAATCTGGGGTCGAGGTCCGCTGTGGGCTCGTTTTTTTAACCCAATATATTTGTTTACATTTTGGTATGCAGAATAAACTCTTAGTTGCTCCTGTTGGCAGTAAACTGTCACTGGATGTCTTTGATACTGAAGAAGACTTAAAAACGTGAGGATTCTCAGACAGCTTCTGCAGTTATATCAGCCGAAATAACTACGTAATGATGCAGATTTGTAAAAAGTCTGAATTCATGTTTTGTTAGTTCTCTCAGCATGATGACAAACAAACAACTTTTAAAACGCTTGTTTTCTGAATGGAGTCTGGATTGATCGGTGCTAAGCTAAGCTAACTCTGTAGCAGCTCCATCAACACTCAAAATAACGTCACCTAGGAGTGAATGCGGCATTTTGTTAACCTTACAATCAGGACAAAATGTCCACGTCTACACAAGAGATATAAAAAGATCTGATTAACATGTTGGCATGATCTCGTTCCTGCTCTTCAGAGGATGAACCCTCTTGATTTGAATTATCTCGTGACCTTTGACCCATGATTTCCTCTTTCACATTAATAATATTATTATTATTAAGTGGTCATTAATTGTCATCTCACCAGATGAAGCCACACAGTTCACCAGACTCAATTACTTCCATTAAATGTGACGTCTGTGGGCTAAAAAGGAAACCACTGACTCCAGTAATGGACTTCCATTATTACCCTCATTGTCCTCAGGCCTCTCTGGTCCCTCCTCTAATGAATAAAGACATCTTCCTCCTCCTCCTCTTCCTCCTTCCCCCTGATTTACCCCTGATGTCACGCATCCCCCGAGGCAGTGATGGCGCGTCCTTGTTCTTCTTTGTTGTTTCTCTCTCTTTCAGTATTTAAAGGCAAAGACTCACCTTGTGTTTGAAGGAAGTAGCTCATATTATATTAAAAGGAGTATTTTCTCACTCACATCTATTTATAATATAGAGAAACACAAACTATATTATTATATATATATATATAAACAGCCTGTGGATGTGAATTGAATTAATAAGAACAAATGACCTGTCAGTTCTCAGTTTTCTTTTTATCCGACAGCTTTGCTTGTGTTGTTGTAACTGTTGCCGAGGTGACTTCATGTGTTGGATGTCTTTCAGAAGTTTGGAAAGACTTACCGCAGACTGACGTGTGAATGTCTGCAGATCCCCGGGGCGGCGATGGACCGAGTCAGCCTGCTGTGGCGCCTGAGGCGTCGGGCTCGCCGCGGCGTCCTGTGCATGGCCTTCTTCTGCATCTCCATGGCTCTGCTCTACGCCATCTGTGCCGAGAACAGCGTGCCCGTCACCGACGCCATCTTCGGGGTCCGGGCGCGAACCCGGGCTCAGCCTCGCACGCACTCCGTCGTCAAGGTCTGTCGACCGCCATCCCAGAATCACACTGACAGTTAAAGCAGAGTAGGACATGAGGCTTATTACTGACAGAAGGACGACTCAACGTTTAAAGATGACGATGACGTTTCAGACCGCTGTAGGTTGAAAGATGTTGTAAAACAACTAAACCCGCAAACCACTTATTTCAGCTGAAAACCAACGTGTATTTAGTAGTGTTTCCGATGGATTCAGGTCCTAATCTTGACATTTTAGTGCAAAGTATTTGATTTATTTGACAGTGTTGTTAATATGCATAGTGACCGACCTCTACTAGTTGAAACCCGGCTATTGCAATTACCCGACTAGCAATTAGCTAGCATACAGCATATCAAAGTCTTGCAAGTAAACTCAAATTCACAAATGTTTATAAAAGTTATGACTGTATTTTGTCACCGTAACAATCCCTTTACAGCACTCTTACTTAACCATAATCATAACAGTCAGCATGATAGCTATTAGCAATAAGCTGTTTGAAATGCTAACGGCTATCATGAACAGTTAAGAGTCCGCCTACATGGTGAAGTAACGTAGACCAAGCCCAGTAGTTCATGCAGTGCTTCTTATATTCTGAAAGTGTAGCATTAAAGCATGGTGGAATCAGCGAGCTAGCTCGTGAATTAGCCAGCCGCTAAATGATTAAAACTGTAACAAACATAACGCTTCATTCACACTCTTGTCGCAGCGTAACAGTCGTTAATACCGATTACCCAGATTTTGTCATTTTCCTCGTTTATCTGTAAACATGTTTTGACTCACCCAGGTGCTGAGAGGCGGAGCTAAGCCGATGTACGTGGACCCCCAGAAGCTCCCGGGGGTCGTCCCAGGTGACCCTCGCCGTCCGATCCCCGTCCTCTCCTCTCCGAACCACACCCATGAAGCCGGGGACTCGATGACGAAGAGGAAGCCCAGAGACCGAGACCACCCCGGGTTCTTCGCCCGACTGCTGCCGCGCCCCTTCACGCGCGCGTTGGAGACCCTGTTCGGAGGCCGGCGGAGGGGCGAGATGAGCGGCAGAGTCGGGGAGGCCGAGTTCTTCGGGCCTCACGGGATTTTGGGAGAGGTGTGGGACGACGAGATGTCCAGCAGCATGCTGGGAAGCAGACTGAGGAAGGTGGTGCAGAACTATCAGGTGAGACTGAATTCTAAATATTATAACTTTACTGTCTTATACTTTTATTTTCTCCCTGATTGTCTTCTGCGTCTCTGGTTGTTCCCGTCAGTCGATGAATAAGTACGGGGTGGAGTTCTCCGGTCCTGGCGGTGTGTCCAGCAGACCCAAGCTGAGCGGCCCGAAGCTCCTCTGCCAACTGAAGGACAACATCGAGGTCGCTACCTTGACCCCCGACCTCGAGCCCTTCTCCTCGCTGCCCTGGGCCTCACAGCTGCCAACGAAGCCGCTGACCTCTGACCTCGGGCCGTACAGGAGCTGCGCCGTTGTGTCGTCCGCAGGGTCGCTCCGCTACTCCGGACTCGGCAAAGAGATAGGTGTGATGTTTTTTCCGTCATTATCATGTTAAAGAACTCAAGAAATCCTTTAAACTAAACCTGAACATCACTTTAACAACATGCCCCGTTTCTACTCTACATGTTATTACCGTTGTTAAATTACAGACTCTCACGACGCAGTGCTGCGCTTCAACGCCGCGCCGACCACCGGCTACGAGAAGGATGTCGGTTCTAAAACCACGATCCGCCTCATCAACTCACAGGTGAACACAAAGATGTGTTTTTATCTCACAGCACAGCGCTCGGACTTTGTTTTCCACCAAAACACAATAAAACTAAATGATGATTTCTATCCCTTAGTTTGAGGAGATCCTGGTTTGTTTTTCAAAGTTTGCATGAATGTTGTATTTTGGATTGAGGTTAGCTTAGCACACATATGATAACAGTTATAATATGATAATATGTCTTACATTGTTCTACTCACGATTTATTGAATTGTTATACATCTATAATATGTCAGAAAATTGTGAATTCTCTCGCCATGTTTTCTTTTCACTCTCAACTATCACAAGCAAACAAAAACAACAGTTCCGGGGTTGAAAACTCCAGAAGCTTCTCTCTGTGTAAACTTATATAACAGACCTCTCTACAAGTCATAGCAATTAGTTATAAATAATAATAATTTTAGGCAAATTCTGCAGGTGTTACGACTTCTATTAAAGAATAACTTGTCATGATTTGTGTTCCTAAGGCTTCTTAATAAAACAAAAGAGGATTTATTAAGCTTAATTTATGTAATGAGATATGAGTCAAGTGCGTGCTACAGATGTGGATGTAATGTATTTTGTTTTTAAACTATTTGTTTCCTCGTCTTACAGGTGATGGCGTCTGATGACCATCGTTTCCTGTCCAGCTCTCTGTACAGCTCAGGTGCGCTGGTGGCCTGGGACCCCGCCCCCTTTTCCGCTGACCTCACTCAGGTGACGTTTACACACGAGTTAGAAAGTTTGAACCTTTTATCGCTGTTACTGAACGACCTTTTTTGACTAATTTAGCAGTATGTGTCCCCCCTCTGCAGTGGTACAACAGGACCGACTACCCCATCTTCACCCAGTACCAGAGGTACAGGAGGCTTCATCCTATGCAGCCTTTCTACATCCTGCACCCCCGCTTTGAGTGGCAGGTCTGGCAACGAATACAGGACAACATGGCTGAGCCCATCCAGAAGAACCCGCCCTCCTCTGGCCTGCTGGGTATGTACAACGTCAACACTGTCATTGAAACACATGAGAGGACAGTAAAGATACACATCAGAGGACAGTAAAGAGACACGTCAAAGGAGAGTAAAGAAACACGTCAAAGGACAGTAAAGATACACGTCAAAGGACAGTAAAGAAACACGTCAAAGGACAGTAAAGATACACGTCAAAGGACAGTAAAGATACACGTCAAAGGACAGTAAAGAAACACATCAAAGGACAGTAAAGAAACACGTTAAAGGACAGTAAAGAAACACGTTAAAGGACGGTAAATACGCAGTGGAGGACTATAAAAGAAAACACGTTGAAGGACGGTTTGTATTAACATTATAAACCCGCTCCCCTCTCCCTCGTGTCCCGCCCAGGAACCGTCCTGATGATGTCAATGTGCGAGGTGGTGCACGTCTACGAGTTCCTGCCGTCCCGGAGGAAGACGGAGCTCTGCCATTACTACCAGCGCTTCTACGACGCCGCCTGCACGCTCGGCGCCTACCACCCGCTGCTGTACGAGAAGAACCTGGTCAAACGGATGAACCAGGGGCCCGACCGCGACATCTACACCCACGGACGCGTCACGCTGCCTGGGTTCGGAAAGCTGAACTGCACCCAGGCTGCTGGAGGTTCAACCAACCACTGACTGGGAAACACGGAAGCAGTGTAGTTTATACACACACACACACATACACACGCACACACACTAACAGACACACAAAGCAGAACCCTGCATGAAGACATGTAAACAAGAGAACAGATGCATGAACACTTTATTCACACTGCCGAAACAACAGGAACGCTGTGCCACTCACTATAAATATTACATGTTGTTACTATAGGCTGTAAACACACACACACACACACACACACACACGCACACACACACACGCACACACACACACAGGAGTCCAATCAACTGATATATGTGCCTGCTGTTCACAGATAATCCCTGTTCATCACTGAAAACAACCCTTAAAAAAGGACCATAACGCTGTTTTTGAAGGTTTACTTTTAAGAAAAAATTAATTAAGATTTTTCATCGCGTACTATCACGTTTTAGACATAAATCTGCTCCTGCACACTGTCGACTCTTAAAATAAATGTATGGAATAGCTTAATTTCTATATTTTCCTTATTGTGGAGCTCTTAAATATGTGTAAACATGTGAATCCAGACAGCTTTGTTCTATATCGCTAACCTACGACACACAGACTCTGTTCTAGATCTCATCCGACTCTGGAGAACACAAGAGAACCAGAGGGTTTCACTAAAGAATGACGGACTGCACCTTTAAGAAACCTGCTGATGAATGTCTCTACATGACACACACACACACACACCTCGCTGAATCTATTTATTAAAGATAAATGCTACCTGCGGACGACTTCTATCCATACAGTGATCCAACAATCCAGTAAAAACAACAGACAAGCTAAAGTTTTGTACCCACGTTGTCAAACCTGTAACGAGCTGTTCCTAATAGTCTTTTTTTATAATTCTTATATCGTGTATATATTAATGCAATAACACTCAGGAGGACAGTCTTCAATGTGATTCTGTGACTCAGCCATGTGAAGCAGAACTAGAGTTTTATCTCTATAAAATAATCCATATTCACAAACCTGCTAACGTAGCTGCTAGCTTGGAATTTATGTCTGGTGGAACATCAAAAGAATGTGGGTACTTCTTTTGTATTGTTTTTTATTAGATACTATATATATATCATGCCATTCATGACTACATACATTGTCACCCAGAGAAGAATGACACCACTTTCACATCTCTATGCTAAATCTGTAGCTGGAGCCAGACGGGGGAGAATTAGCTTAGCTTAGCATAACGACTGGAAGCAGGTGGAAAGAGCTAGCCTGGCTCTCTCCAAAATGTAAAAAGAAACGCTGCACGACTTTCATGAAACTTGGTGGAAGGGTGCAGCACGGGAAAAGGAAGAACCGTTTACATTTTGGAGTGGGTCCGAGTCACGTAGCGGATACACAAAGTATTTTTTACTGAAGTACTTAAGTGTCCTTCTAGTAAACACATCATACCTGTTTTGTTTTATCATGTGTTGTTAGCGGCTCCCAGGCTTTATGCTATATTAAGATTATCTGTTAATAGCCAATGAGACATTCCTCTTACGGCTAAAAATAGTTTGGGAACGATGTTGATGCCAGTTGTGCTTCCATTGGTTCCCACTGAATCTTTCCACTGGATTTGTTTTTTCCCCTCTGGCTCAGAGGCTCAGATCTCATGAGGACTAGTCATATAAACTAGCAGCTATAAGCTAGTAAGCTAGCATGTTTACCTGCAGAGAACACGAGTGCTATGGTCATACGTTAATGACAAAAATGAACTCATTTCTCCTCATATTTTCTGTTCTGAAAAAACGTTTTCAGGAAGTAGAACTCCAGTCTGCTCACACTTGTATTTTTCAGTATCACAGTTAAGATCGGCCTCGAGGGTTTTATGACTTCTTCTACTCTATTATTACCAAACGCATGTGTGGCAACAGGAGAAAACACTCTACGTCTCTGATCAACAGAGAGAGGATCCGCAGGGCACGGAGTCTGCTGTTATCCCATAATAAGCCCCATAATTTCTTTACTAAACGTGATGTAAAACATTTCATATTGTTGTTAGCATCATCGCGTGTGAGCGAGCTCATTAGCATGCAAACCACGACAACGATCCTGTGTGACGCTCCTTACAGATCGGATGTTATGTGTCTCAAATATCAGATTGTCAACTACCTAACAGTCCCAGGTTGAGCACATGTCAAAATGTTTTGGTAATATGATTAATTGTACAACGCCTCAGATTCAGCCTAAAATGCTGGATCGGGTTGTATTTTTTTTTGCCTGATAATGTGACATTATGAACAACAAATCTGTGTTGAAATCAGCAGGATGAGAGCTCATTAACGTTAGCCGTTAGCATTATAATGCGTTCAAGCTCCATTCAGTTCAAATGAGTATTGGGACAAAAGGTAAATTATAACTTTATCGTGATGTTTTCCAATGTTTAGTACTTGAATAAATCCAGTTTTTTTGAAGATGTTTTCACATATAAAATAGTTATTTAAGAGGTAATTATGACGTGTTTAACTTTCTTTGTCTTTAAGCACTGGTATTGGATCGGTACAAGAAGAAAAATAAAATAGCTTGTTTAAAATAGATTGTGAAATAAGGGTTTAAAATTGGTCCTAAAGTTACAATCCATTTGTTTTTTACCATGTCAAACAGTTTCTGACACCATTTATATCCACGATTTCAACTGCTACATCCGTTAAATGTATTTGCATCAATTTACATACATTAACACCTTTATAAGTTTACTTTTTACTCCTAAATAAAGATGTTTGATCAAATGACCACAAACCTGGGACCAGGTAGTGTTAATCCAGATTGTAGATAGACCATATTGGCCCAAATATACGGACAAATATACGACAGATTTTGAGACGAAGCCTTTTCCAGCAGCTGTTTTTTTGCCTCAAAGAGCCACAAACATGACTGTAGGCTCTCAGCGCTGTTCAGATGTTTAGATATTTGGGTCAATATGTCCGATGTTTCCTGTTTCACTTCAGTCTGAAGCAAGAAATGGCTCCGCTGTTGTTCTTATAATCATTTCAGTTTCATGTTTTCAACTAGAACTTTGTTTATTCAGGAGATAAACACTTGAATAATTGATGTCATTGCATTTCAGAAGAAAACTATGAGAATATTTTTCTCTCTATGAAGTTCTACTCTTCTTGTCTCAGCTCCTGCTCGCTAATTTCATGTATAACATTTTAACGTTTTTTATTGTTAGCTAACAGATTTTTCTCTACTTTGCCTTCATTTGTTTGCTTTCTGAGCGTTTTGGTTGTTAAGTTGTTGACTGTGTTTTATGTGGTTGATTGAACAAATATGTTTTCATATTTCCTTAAAAACGTACAACTGACTTTTAAAACCATTTCATATTGTTAAGAAATTATCAGTTTTTTTAGGGCAATACCATCAGATTTCCTTCTAATTATTCAGTTGTGAAACATCAAGAACTTAAGTGTAAATGCCAAAAGTAGTTCGCTGGTCCAATGACATTTTCTGCAGACATTCATGGTCCTCAGGGGATGAACTGTAATACATTTATCTTTGGTTCGAGGCTAAATACCTGCAGAATTGATGAGATTCCCATCAGCCTCAACTGTACTTTACTTTTACTGCTAGTTAGCATGCTAACAGGCTAAATGACAACGATCATGCTACCTGCTAAATAAATCTGCATGTTAGCATCACTGTTGTGACGTTAGCGTTTAGCTAGCATGCCTGCAGACTCTTTCAGTCTTGTTTTCTGGTGTAAGTACTTTTCTAAAACCTGATTAGCCAGTTTAACCAGTGACGACAGGAAGCTTTATTTTGAAAAGGATCACCTGTGATTTAATGTCCCCACTGCCTGAACACCACATTTCACATTCATCCAGACTTTAGAACAAAGGTCATGCTCCCTCTCTGGTTTCAGAACGGAATATTTTTAACCCTGCATGCATTAGATTCCAGAACTGATGCTGTAACAGTCAAAGCTTCTGTTGGATTATTATTATGCTAAATGTTGTATTTTGAGGATTCCTCATTGTATTACAAAAGTAAACTGTTACCTTGTTTGGTTATTGACTTTATGTTCCAGGTGTTTTGTCTGTGTGTGAGCAGGAAGTTGTGACAATCACACAATCGAAATATATGTCATTTAAAACTTAAAAACTGAGGACATTGGTGAATAAAGATCCGACAACAAGAAGGCTCCGGAAACCATCCTTGGAGAGTGTACGGAATATAGATTGTAAATATGGAAGATACAACTACACAAGATTTAAGATACATAAAACAAATAATAATACAAAAATAAAAATGTGCTAAACTTGTGTGTGTGTATATATATATGTATATATATATATATATGTATATGTATATATATATATATGTATATACATATGTTTCAGGAAGTCCAAATGTACCCAAATATAAACACATCTACAGTAAAAACAATAAATTCTCCCCGTCGGGGAATCGAACCCCGGTCTTCCGCGTGACAGGCGGAGATACTGTCCACTATACTAACGAGGAGGGATACATGTTTTTAATACACGTGTCCTACACATTTTTGTACGTTTCCATTATCCGTCACATCTTATCCTATTGCAGTGTGTGTGTGTGTGTGTGTGTGTGTGTGTGTGTGTGTGTGTGTGTGTATGTGTGTGTGTGTGTGTGTGTGTGTGTGTGTGTGTGT